TTTAAAATGCCATCTACTGAGAGTTCAGTCAATACCATCTGTAGGTCCTGGGGTCCCTGGATGATACCAATTAAGAGAAGCTGAAACGCTAATGTGAGTGTGTTATGATTCTTGAAGTCAGTGAAACTTTCAGTGTGTTCTCCACTTAATAGGTCTATAGCAGCTGCGTGTTCTCCAGACGATTTGCATACATCATCCTGATCATCAACCACCGTTCCACCCAGGGACAATGTTCATCTGAAATTTCCTTTGGAAGAAGTATTTTGAGAAAAGATAACATTTTTTCTGAAATGGCTGGAGTTTTTGCCACATATCATATATAGACTGAGTTTTACCTTGCAAAGAAATATTCACGTTGTTTTGATTTGACAGCCTATCACACAGAAATGCTGCATTCCTGTAGAAATCTCCTTTCAATAATTCACATTGCTGATTCTGTTCTTCCTAAATGTAACTCTCTGCTCTCACAGAGAGAAAGTTTTGGCTACCACTTGTCCCTGTGACAGCCAGCACACTTTAAAATGAAAGGGCAAATCCACCCAGAATAACTCATCTTTCAATGTTAGCATGTTACAAGGCTGAGGAGGCCATTTTACCTTCACACAAATATGGCTAACATATTGCTGATCAGTCTAAGTTACCTGGGAACATGGATAGTCTCTGCGTAAAGCTACCGGTCAACAATGCGTTAAGATGTTAGCTGTGCTAAGCAAGTCCTAAGCAGTTATAAGTTCTAAGCAGCTGAGAGATGAGGTGGGCTGAATGAATAAAATAGGCTGAATTTGATACGACTGGAAATTGAGACTGGGAGAAATGAATTAGGGAACAGCTGCTATATTAACACATTGTTGACTGGCAATTTTATATAGATGCTGTCTGTGTTACCGGGTAACTCCTGACCGGTCAGCAGGTGTTAACAATACTTAGAACTTCTTGCAAAGAAATTTAAAGAAATTTAAATCTGCTGATATAAATGAAAAGAAATGAGAGCATTTAAATCTGTTAATATTTTTTTAAAAACTTTGTGCCATAAATCCTTCATGTTTTCCTGTCATGGAAGGTACACCATCTGTATGTACACTCACTAAATATACCCAATCCACTCCAAATTCACATTTATCTTGAAAGTTATGGAAGACATCTGTTTCCCATGTTCTGTTCGCAAACGGTCCCCAAACAAGTAGCACTTCCTAGCAAAGAAATGTTCTGTAATGACCCAAATGAAGTACAAAACTTGCACTGAGTCGGTAATTATCAGTTTATTCATCAAAAACAATTGAATAGGGTGGCACCTGTGGCTCAAAGGAGTAGGGCACCAGCCCCAGATGCCAGAGGTGGCGGGTTCAAAGTCAGCCCTGGCCAAAAACTGCAAACAAAACAAAAACGAAAACAAATTGAATGACATATATTTTCCTTTTGAAGTAGTGTATGAAGTTTTGTTAAGTCAAAGTGTAATTTATGCTGCCAGGCAATATGGTTCTCCTTGAAAGAGGTAGATGATAAAACATTATCAGGGCCCAGGCATCTTTGACAATGCATTCTCTCACTACTCTTACATCACTGAAATACATCACTGCTTCCCTCCCCCCCACCAAGTATATAAACTATCTTATAATTTTCTTCAGTGGCATTATTTCCAGGTCTTATTGCTGCTTGAAAGAATTGTCTTTGCTTTTTCTTTCCATCTCCTAATGTCTGCAAGGCAACCCTTTGTGCCTCTCCCTGTAATTTAAATATTGGTGGTTCTTATGAGTTATAATGCTCATGAGCATTGAATTTCTTTAACATTGATATTGCAGCATCACAAAGCAAGCAAATCATCTTATCTTTAGCAGAAACAAGATAACATTGCAATTCTCGACCCTCATTAAAAAGCCTGTTTTCTTCCTTCAGTGTTCTCTTGGTCTTTATTGACACGATGGGCTGTTAAGCAGGCAGAATTAAAAAAATACCATTGAGATGGGCAACTATGCACAGATTCTGCTTCAAACAGAAACACAGTGCACCATTGCCAAACGCTGGTAACAGATGGGTTTATTAGATCCCCATAAACTCTCCCCAACCAACCTCCTGCAGTAGCAGCACCTGTCAGGCAGGGGAGGTTTGAATTAAATCAGGAGCACAGCAACCATCCCTTTAGCTCTTAGAGCTTACTAATGTTCTAATTGTGTTGATCAATCCAGGAGGATTATTTCATTGAAACTTATTTTATTCTTTGGTATTTTACAGACATTCATTTTAGCAATACAATAAAAATATAAACAAAAATGTAGTAACAAAAATAAAAAGATTTGTTCTGTAAAATTTGTATTCAGTCAAATGGCGTGTGGAAGGACCTAGAAGGCCTCCCATTCCCTGCCCCTAATCTTGCCTCTGGGTATCCTGAATCTCAGGCCAGTTCTTCTATTCTCTGCTGTTGTTCTTTGCTCTCAGTTGTGATTCTGGGTAGCAATTACTTGATTTATTTTTCCAAATGTATTTTTTCCCCAGTGTAATAAAGTACAATTTGTACATGTTTGAAAACATCCAGAATTAGAATAATACATACAGGTATATTAATATGTGGAACATAATAGCTAAACAGTTTAGAGGAGGAAGAGGTAGAAAATGGACACTAGCTCAGTCTTCATTCTGGGTTTAGAATTCCACAAACTGGGCTCAGCACCTGTGGCTCAAGTGGCTAAGGTGCCAGCCACATACACCTAAGGTGGCGGGTTCAAATCCAGCC